CATATTCTGGTGTAAGCACTTTTTCTTTTGCCCTCCTCTACTTTCCTGCCACAATCTCTACATGCCACTGGCGACCATTACAGGAAAACATTGCTGCTATGTTTTCTCTCATGAAACCGTCTCTTCTCCCTTTTTGCCCGTTTTCCTCAAAATATGTGTCATCTTTTTACATGATATATCTAGACCTGCAGGAAAGCCCTCCCTGTCCAGCGATTTGTTCAACAGACAGTCTAGGGAGGGTTATTGGGGGTTGGGGTGGTCAGAAAGTGGAAGTGGAGGAGGAGGAAGATGGGAAGTCCCCTTAGCAGAGAACTCAAAGGGGAAAATGTGAAGAGGGCTTTGGTTCATACTTCCGTCAGCCATATCAGCTGGGATAATGTGTTTGCACGTATGTGAAAGAATCCCTGAGAGTGAGCAGGAGAGCCGTGATCTGAATAATGTCAACCCGGCACTCGCTGCAAAGAGGTTTCCATAGCAGGTGGTCTGGCTCAACCACCATCTGGAGACCTTGATGGCAAGATAAGCTTTGTTATTTACAAACCAAAAACTTTGTTTAGACAAACCCTCTAAAAGCCACGTGATGGCCAAAAGAAACACCAAGGCTCGCTGTTGTTTTTAACCACTGAGAACCGAGGGGGAACGAAGAATGTCATGCTGAATTTCCCCCAAAGCCACAAAGAATGCCAAGTAAGTCAATAAATAGACTATTAGAATAAAATTGCAGAGGTTTTGCATGCCAGAGTGAAAAGCTCATGATCCTTGTTACACAAACCTTCATAAGAACTGTTAATATGAATGCGTTATACAGTTTTGTGGTAATAAGTTTGGAAGCACTAGAAATAAAACAAAAAAATGTATTATTATACTGGAAATATTGAGCTAAAAATAAGTACTTGACAGAAGTATGTTTACCCATCATTTAAGGAGGCAACATCATCCTTCAGTGGAACCAGTATTTTGGGCCTTAAAATAAAATAAAAAAATATATATATATTGCTTTTGAAATAAGATTCTATGGTAAAAAATCTTATTTGATTTGCAGGTAACTGCTACTTACCTACTCAAATCAAGTTAACAAAATTAAACCTACTTTTAGTTAACCTTAAATGCATTTGAAAAATTTTGTAGCGTATTTTTGAACCTGTTAAAACACATTTTACCTCATGTACCTCAACATTTGCATATTGATGTAAATGTTTTAAAACATTGATAAATGATAACTATAGTGTCTTCATTTAATTTATTATTGAATTCATAATAATTATACTGTGGAAAAACTTAGATTGGACCAAATATTCATGCTGCTAATGATCAGGCCACCAGATTTATGATAAATAACTAAATTTAAGCCTAAGAATCTCTCTGCAGCAGCTCTAACATAAGGATGAAATAGATTAAGGTGGGTCTGAAACACCCTGGGGTAGATGGCAACACTTTCCATCTGATTTTGTTGGGTATAAAAATGATGATGAACATGATTACAAAGGAATGAGCGACAACCATCCCAACATGTGCCTGCAATACTAATAGAGATCTGTTAAGAATATCAATTTGATCATCATCATCATCTGCTTCTTCTTTAAATCACTACTATGAATGAAATAGAGCACATTGTATTTCATACAATATATATAACATGGTCTACATTAGAATTGTGTTGCACTTACCTCACAAATGATGTTCGTGACTCTGCAACCTCTTCTATCCTTTTGTTTACAGCACTTTGTCCCAAATGGTGTTCTCTTGTAGGTCAGTTTCTTTATGCTGCTGAATGTAATATGGGTTGGAAAGCTAGAATAAATGTTTTGACATGTGTCTTTTCACATGCACATACCCTATTATTTATATGTCCGGATTTATGACTCACCAAATACAGCAACACTCTTTAATAAAGTAATTTCTTGCTACTTTTCTTATAAATTTTTCCCAAAGCAGTTTGCCAACATCTTTCATTATTGTTAGCTTGTTTCCTCTCTATTCAAATACGACTGCTGATCTGTAAAATAATTAATTGCGGTTTAAGTTAATAATCTTTTAAAAATAATATTTAAAGCTTATTTCTGTCAGTGCATTTCTTCTCTTTGCTGCAAAACATTAAAAAAAATTGTGTTTTATCTACTCTCTGCAGCTTAACAGAATTAGATGCAACCCAGTCTCAAAAACTGTACCTTAAAAATATATTACAATATGACTTTAAGAAATGGTCACACCAAAATAACCAATGGGTTTCCCTAACTAAAAAAAGGATAACAGTACAACAGTTATTGGGAGTTTGTCTATTTATTAAAAGTGTTAATTCATTTCTGTTTCAGGTAGTTGTAGCCCCTGCTATCGTGTTGCAATGTGTGTCTCTTTAAAACAGGATCTGTTTGACAAGAATACAGACAATCTAAAATGTGTAAAAGTAGTGAAACAAATTGCCCATTTTTACATATGTTCAAAAGAATTTAATATTGCAAAATTAAAACCATGTGTCATTTGTACTTTAAAGGTACAGAGTTATAATTACAGCTATTTACAGGTATTGCTGGTATATATAATCTATATGTATGTTATTTATCATCACATATGAACTGAAAGTCTCAATCTTTAGGTTTGCCTTGCCTTAGAAATTGCTATTTATTATTACATAGGAGTGGGTTTGTATTTGTGGAGGCAGACATCTTTTACACTATGGCAGCACAAAGCTGAAAAACTAGTTACTGTGCAGATCGCCACTATGCTCAAATGGGACTGTAGAGAGTTATGGACCTACATACAATTCTACACATACTTATAAACTACTATTTATAATAATATTATTATATCTATGTAAACTAGACTTATAATGGCCACCATCAGCAACCAAGTGGTTGTTATGAAGATGACCAATTTAAATCGCCGGTTGTTGCGTTTTTGTTTGTAGGAAAAAAATCGCACCTGCTTGGCGCTGCTAGATCAAGTAGAGAGCTGAGGAGCACAGCGGTAGCTCGGAGAGGCCTGCCAGGAAACAGATCGCTGATGCCCAGAGGCTACAGCTGGCCAATAAGACAGGTCTGAAGGCAGGGTAAAGTGGCTGTGGCTTATTGTGAGGAGGATGGCGTGACATAGGAGGACCCAGCCAGGTCGACAGAGCAGGAAGAGACGACATTAGGCCAAGGCAAGGCCCTGGAGGCTAACTGCTAGAGATAGACAAGGGCCCGCTAAGGATCAGAGAATCGTGTGACTAGAGTGAACGGTGGAGAGAAGAAGCAGCTGATCTGTGTCTGTGCTGGAGTTAGGATTTGAAAAGGTCTAAATTAAAACAGGATTTTAAAAACCTTGATACTTGATAATGTGAATAAATCTCAGCATCACTTGACAAGGTAGATAAAGCAATGTCGCAGAAGCCAGGCTTCCAGTCAGATTTTCGATATGTGTAGAAAATGCATCAATAGGCATCTTGGCTTCATTAAGAATGGTGAAAAAGTGTTTGTTTTTTTGTTTTGTTTTTTAACGATAGTCCTGTAACCCTCATGATGACCTGTAAACTGAGAAAGTTTTGCATCTTTTCCTGAAGAAAACTGTAAATGAAAATATTTGTTCTGGCTGTTGCTGTGTTTTATCATCCTGCATTGATGGAAGGCATACATCGAAACCTATTGTTGGTAAATGGAATTTTAACCCTCTGAACCATTATATTGAAATTTGAAAGTAGCTGGCAGTGACAATTTTAAAAGTTCTTTAGAAACTAGGTCATTGTCATTGTCAACACACATGTTTTTTAACCTTCTTTGTACTTCCTCTGAATATCTTTCCTCCATGCAGCTCTCACTCCTTTACCAGTAATTGGGGTGTAATACAGGCCGACTGCATTAAACCATTTCCACTAAGTGAAATATGTGTCTTGTCAGGGCTGCTCATTCATTATTAATCTGTTTGTTCACATATGTAACAAACCTTGAAGAAAAAAAAAGGTGTTTATAGGACTTTACGTCTGAGAAGCAGTTGGTGATGTCATGCAGAGGACGTGCTTGCAGGGTGATTTCTTCTAAATATTGTTAACAAATTCTTGCATCAAGTCAAATGGGATGTTGTTTGATTGAAAGGGAAAAAAAATCAGACTGCTACCCATTTATTTAGAATCATGCCGAAAATCTCTGCTTGCCCCATGTACATGTCACTTTTTTTTTTACCCTGTCCTTTAGGTAACTATGAAAACAAAGTCGCTGTGATACTGTCATAACTGAGCATACTTGCTGAAAATTATTTCCAGATGTTCCTTATACAATAATGCATTTGCTACAGCAATAAAAATACTTTTGATTACATTTTTCCCCTCAAAGAATAGCTAGAGCTCTTATTGCAGCTGGAACAAAAGCAGATGAAAAGGCTAAGGAAGATCAGAGGGATATGATGAGAGGTTGGAATTCTAGAAAAAAAGATTTGATAGAATTTTACTACAGCTTGAGAGAAGAGATGGAGTGCAGCTTTCACTTTGCAAGCAACCCAGAATTTATCGCCTCGTTGCAGGAGCAAGCAAGGAAATTAAGTGATAAGAAAATCAATTGAATCCTCCTGAATCCTTTGCAAATGTTTAAAATTCCCAGCCAATGTGCAGAGAATGCAGACAGCGAAGGGAACAGGAGAAGTAAAAGGTTCCAGGAGAGGACATGGCTGGGAGTGGGGGTCGATAGGCGTGGAGGAGAGGGTCATCAATCACATCTGGGTGACACAATGAAATCTGACCGCAGCCCAACATGTTTTAATGCGGCATCCATTAGAGCCCTCAAATAAATTGCAATTTGGAAAACAGAACACAATACCAGCCAAGTTTTCCTCATCCATCTTGTGGTGTGTCATGTAATGTAATTGCGTTGTTAATTTATCCAAGAATTTCCTTGGTACACCATTTCATCCACATTGGTTAATTTCCCTGTAGAGTATATTTTCCCTTTCCCTCAGTCAGCCCTCCCCTCCTCTAGCTGTGCAGCCAGCAGGGGCAGAGTAATGTTTCTGCTTAGCGTGGCATTAGTCGAAGGGCTAATCAAAGCACTGAAGTCCGTGACACTTTATCAATGTTTGGCTGCGTGCCGACCAACCTTGCTGTTGTGCAGATCCAATCAGGCCTCCGCTGGCTGTCATTACGTCTCGGTGACAGCAGGATCACTCAAAAATGCCTGTGGAGTACATCGATAGTATTGACAGTTGGGGGCATTAAAAGCTGGGAAGCAGCGGCACCCAATCGGAGAACAGAGAGCCGACACTTCCTGCGTCCGAACCAAGGCTTTAAAGAGAACCAGGGAGAAGACAAGAGTTGGAAAGATGTATGGACATGTCTGGGATATAGGCAAAAATCAATGCACTGCTTAAAGAAAAAGGAAGAAGAAAGAGATGCAATGTGAGCAGTTTGTTTATTTTAATGAAGCTTTTTGGTTTCTTTCTTTTGGAGAAATTTATAAGTAAAAAAAAACAAATAAAACCAACTGAGTGGTTTATTAGTTATAGAGTCATGATTATGAAAAAAACAACACACATATATCTTAAAACACAAAACTGCAAAGGTACATCATGTTGGAGGAAAATCTGAAGGGTTCAGCTTTCAGTGGAAATAGAATTGTGAATAAAAGAAAACGAAAAAAATATTCAAATATGTTTTTCAAAATATTTTAAAGAGATTATGAGCAAATAAGGTTTTAGTCTTTTCATAGATTTCAGCTTTGTTCTCAGCAGGTTTTTCACCATCTTGACAGATATAAAAAAAAAAAAAAGCAAAACATGTACTTTTCATATTTTATAAAAGCCTTTTTACTATCTGCAATGCTTGATTAGTTTTGGAATGTGGCTTTATCCTATATGTGCTCTGTTTATTTCCCTAGTTCCCAAACTTTTCTTGTTGCCAACGGTGTAGTTGAACAACGTAAATTATACATTTCAATAGAATAAATCAAGATATCATTTAAATCACAAAACTGCTCCCTCTTAAGTGTAATTATTTAAGTTTAACTGTTTATTTCATTCTTTTATTTTTTGTTTTTTATATACCGGTACCTCTAAAAATCTCCTCCGAGGTTCTCTAATCATCACTGATAAATGTACCCCATTTTTAAAAACCAATGACCTACTGTATAATGCAATCTCTACTGGCCAAAACTACAGGTATCTTACACAGGCCTTTGCATGAGAACTCTAATCTTAATAACTCTTCTCCCCGTCACCTGACATGAGAGCTTGAGGAGATGGGAGCTTAGAGCTGAGGCTAGGAATGGCCCTGAGGGGAGAAATGGACGACATACTTTTGTCTCTCTCCTGGCACAGTCCTCAATGCATCTTCTCCCCCATCAACCCCATGAGGCTTGACAGACAGTGAGGAAGATAGAAATGATCAAAGGATGACAGAAGAGCGAGAGGAGGAGAGCCGACCAAAACAAAGACTCATTCTAAAGTTCCCCTGTGCTGGGTTTCTAGGTGTCTGACAGAGAGAGAGAGACGTGGACTCCACCCCTCAGGCAGTGCTCATTTCTATCAGTGGACACATCACAGGCAACAAATGAGGCCCTGTTATAGGATTCACCTGAATGCTACCTCATGCAGTACCTCCGAAAGGTATGCATTTATCCTGCTTGAACTTTTCTTGTTTTCACATGTTTAACAAGAAAATCTCTTTATATTCTATTTCAAATTTAAATGAATAATCATCTCAAAATATTGCAAGATTATAAGGCAAAATTTCAATTTTTCTTTTCAAGCAAACATCTGAATAACATCCATCTGTTAATACGTGCATAGAAAAGGCAAGATACCTGTATGTTTAGATTTAAAATTAGAATAAGAATAGCCAGAGTAGGCCTATGTATTTATGGTTTAAACAACAGAGCGCTGCTACAGTACATTCATGTAAAAGTCATATAACCATATATATATATATATATATAAAGCTTAAAGACAGGACTGCATAAGGAATTTACCTTCTACAAAAATATAGACCTTAATTTATTAGAAATTCACTTCTGAGGAGTCCTTTCTTTCTGCACGTGTATTTCTCTCTGCCCATTGGTTTCTTTCCTATATGGACTTGGAAAATGCAACAGTTCAGTTTGGACGATTCTAAACACTGATAGCAAACAACATTCTGGAGGCTTTGGTTATGAACATAGAAGATTTTCCTGAAAATTGTGGTGGAATTCAATTTGGATGAACAAGAGAGTTGTGTGTTTAGATAGTTTATTTTATTAAGCTCTTTTTATTACAAAAGGTTAGTTTTACTCATTATGATGACTTTATAGCTTAAGAAATAAAGTTTCATTTAAACTGGGAAAAAGAATGTAGTTTATTGTTTGTTAATTGATAAGTTTTAGTCTTTTTTTAGGCTTTGTTTAAGTCATGCTGTTGGGGCTAGCTTTGATGATTTGAAACCATCGGTAGCTCTACACAGAAGTTTACAAAATATATGCTGGCATTTCCACAAGATTTTTCGATTTACACACTTGATCTTTATAAAAACATCCAGAGGATCAGAATCAGACATTTTTCAGGCTTTGTGTTTTCACATGTGTTTCCCAGAGCAGGATCTTTTCCACGTTACTTTTTTTTGACACGAGGAATGTAAAATTTGGTTCAAGTGAGGTCTGATGCCAGACTACAGTTATAAGACATATATATCAGACATTGGCAGAAGATTACGAATAATAATAATAAAGAAAACACTAAGAGTTTATCATTTTGGACTTAAAAGAAGCTGCACCATATCAGGATTTTTATTAATTTTCTTTTTCATGTCTATTATTTTCATTTTATCTTAATTCATAAATATTTTCTGAGATGATAAAAAACCCACAGGCATTTTGACTGCAATGTGTTATTTTAAGCACCAAAATGTGGACGAATCTAGCAACTTGTACATTTAAAAATAAACTTAGCAGAGGCAAGGTAGACAGTGAGAAATTAAGATCAATAAAAAGTGAAATATGATGGAAGACATGAATGCAACTCTAACTGTATGCGACTATATATTTGCAATTATATTAAAACTGTTCATTGTTATATATTTTACTAAACACTAAGCAGTTATTGGTGATATGTAAAACGTCATTTCGTTTCTAAGGAATGTTTAACAGGAATGTACCATTTGAATGAAAAAAATGTTAAATAAAACATGAACTTTTAATTAATTTTTTTATTTTATGTATTCTTTTCAGGCATTTACATGCATTGAAAAATTCAAGTGAATGCCAGTTCATCAATTTAGATTTATAGGTCATATTATAAGAAACAAAAAAACGAATACATTTATCAAATATAAATACAATATATCAGATGAAAACTCAGACGCTAGATACATAAAATTGTATCCAAAATCTTTTTTTTTTGTTTCAGTTTGGATTTAACTCAAAACTTGCACATGTGTCCTACTAGCCTGTCATCTTGGTTTGCTACAAATCTGTCGTTCTGAGCAGTTTATACAGGAAAATCGTTACCACTTCCACTAAAATCACCAAAATAATGACTGAATCTTTCATGCACATCCAAAACATCGGTGCCTTTCAACCTCACAGACTGACCTCAAAGTCAAAGCAGCAGCAAGACATATTTATTTTTATGGGCTTGAAAGGTATAATCTAAAATTATTATGTGGATTTGGCTCAGATGCACATCTACATCAGAGAAGAAGAAAAAAAACCTCCACAAAACCAACATATGTCATCTCTTCATAAAATCTTCAATGGCAACTTTTTTTTTGAAATAATAATTTTCTATGTTCTTTTTTTATTTTTTATTTTTTAAAGTTGTTCAGTTGTTGAAGTTTTATTAGAATTTTATATAAAAAAATAATAGTCTAAGGCTTTGCATTAGTAACTTAACATCACATTTTTCTTTACATACTTAAGTGGTTTTATTCTCCCCACAAGCTCTCTTTCACCTATCATATTACCTTCTCTTTTTTATATAGTAGGAGTAAATAATATCCCAAAAGGAGGAAAGCAAGGAGGGGTTACCTCATTTTTCAAATCCCAGAGTCTCAGAGAAAGCCCAGGTAAACAAAGATGCTGTGGGGGGTCTCCAAAGTATTCACCCTTTTCATTTGCTCCGCAGAACCTGCCTTAGTCGATGCAGCTAAAGGTGATGAAGGGGCAAACCTGAGCTTGTATATCAGTTATTGTGATGACAAGTGGAAAAAAAAGAAAAAAAACATTGACAGGACTGAGATCCAACTTGATTCTCTGGACATGTGCATTATGAATTAGTTGTAGGTTCTTTATCAGTCAATGTCACAAACAGAGTGAATGTCTCAAACATTTTTTAGCAGTTGTACTTTCAGTTTACTTCCTGTAAAGTGCAGGTGCACAGATGTGATAAGCTGATGCAATTTTAACTACTTTACCGCTGTAAACTGATCAGACACTATAAGATTCATTGCTAATCTTAATTTAGTATTTAATGATGCATAATTATATATAACATTGTTATCTAAAATCGTCATCCACAGGTAGAGTTTTGATATAATAACCATGTTTTTTTCCTGATTTCTCTAGTTGCACCACTCAGTGCACTAAGGTAAATACAGCTAAAATGAAGTTATTTTAGGGTTGCATAATCTTGCCTCTGTGTTCATTATTTTTTTCTGATGATGTGGGTTGCTTTAAAACCTACAGACGCCTTAACCCATACAATTTAGTGAGTATTTTCTTATTTCTTAAAACATCAAGCCTCCTTAAAATCAGAAATTAATGCACATTGTTTGGGACTCCATTTCAGATTTGCTGAGGTCGAATTCAGCAGCTGTATCCTTAGAAGGCCACATTCTTCAGCCGATTACGCCAAGGCCTGTTCGGATTGGAAGACTCCTCACATGCAGCCGACAAATGCAGCTTTTTTCTCCCCTGTTTTGATGGACAGGTCTGCTGTATCCTACGTAGCCTTGGGTATCTAGCAGTTCATTGTAAATCCAAACAGGCCGGCTGCTCCATGCTCAGAGGAAAAAGGGAAAGGGCACGGAACCGTGGTAAATATATTGCAAGTGCAGTTAAATTAAATACAAATATGTGAATAGTTTTGTGTGAAATTAATGAAAATAGTTGTTTTAAATGGATATTTAGTCAGATATGTGGCGGGTAATGTTAGGTTTATTGAAAGGCTTTATCTGTCCTTTTGCAAACAGTGTTGGCTGATATTTACTGTAAGCAAAGATTCCAATATCTGTGGACTATAAATCTGGTATTTATTAAGTTTAGTTAAAAGCCTTCAGCTGATCCAAAATGCTGCAGCCATCGTTATAATGAAAATTAAAAAGAGAAATCATCTTACTCCTATTCTATTCTTTCTTTATTCTATGTTAAATCTAGAATAGAATTTTAAATCCTCCTTCTCACTTATAAAACTTTAACATATGGCCAGCTCCAACTTGGATCAGAGATCTGATTGTTCCTTATGTTGCAAACAGAGCAGTTTTCTTTTAGTCATCAGGCTCCTCTCCTGGGAAACCAACTACCAGTTTTAATCTGTGAGGCAGACACTCTGTCTACTTTTAAGGCTACGCTTAAAAGTTAAATTTTTGGTAAAGCTTATAGTTAGTGTGGCTCAGGTTATCTTGAGTATCTCTATAGTTATGCTGCTATAGGCTTAGACTGCTGGAGGACATAGGGACCACTTTCCATCACTCTGCTTTATTCTAAATGTATTCTCCCATTCTGGAGTATTTGTAAATTCAATCTCTAATATTATGCTCTCTCTGCTTTTTCTCATCATAGTAACTTCATCCTGTTTGGTTGTAACACCATCCAAAGAGAAATATCAGCTGTGCTGCTGCCATCAATACCTTTGTTTATAGATGTTGGAGCTCTCTTTCATCATCTGACATAGGAGCTTGCTTGGAACTTGTGTGCCTGGCTTTGTTTTTACTGTAAGGGTCAATTTGCGGAGCTTGTTGACAGTTACCTTTTGTATCTCTGCTACTTTCTGTATGTCTGCTTCTATCTCCTTGAACCACAGTTGGCTTCATCAGCTGGCCGTTCACACTGAGCCTTTAACAGGAAGAAAACCTCTGCTGGAGGTTTCTTCCTGTTAAAAGGGAAATTTCCTATCCACTGTCGCTGCATCCGTGCTCGGTGTACGGGATTGCTGTTGAGTTTATGAGTCAAAGCAATCGGCTGGTCTTCCTTAGATTTAAAACTTTGAAGCAATCTGACTGTATGATCTGGCGGAATTGTCTCTGTAAGTGTCTTGGCACGGCATGTGTTGTAATTGGCGCTATATAAGTAAACTAAATGGAATTGAGTGCAATGATTTCTTCTCCAAGTCTAGCTAATCCAGAATGAAAAACAGGTGCCACATTCCTCTTTTTACCAATTATTTGAGGGCAGAGCTGAAACAAATGTTTGAACAAGGGATCTTGGCAAACCCTGACGCAGTTTTGCTAGTTCTTTCTTTAGGAAAGACTGGGCCAACATTTAAGCATTTATCGTAGGAAAAATGCAGATGGATAAGGCCAAAATGGCATAGCTCTAAAGGGAAGTTCTAGTCTATGAATAATTCTGATCTAAAACATTAAATATTTAGCCACATGCATCCCTAAAAAATGCAAAATGTGCATGAAAATATTCAACAATAGGATTTAAGTAGGATAGATTGCTTGTAGGTTAATAGGATTTAAAGGAGAAGTTCGGTTTTTTACACTTTAAGCCCATTTTCTGTAGTGTCCAGGATGAAATCGAATGAAGGACACCAAAATTTTGACAATTGCTCCTGTCTCTGCTTTTTGGCTCATTTAGAATCAACCCCTGGCTGCTTTAGAATGGCTAGCATAGAGCATGTCCGATAATGTCCTTAAAACAACCTTAAACGTTCTTTTTTTAAAATATGCTACTCACCATGTCGTCAGCGCTGTTCAATGACGTTCCAAAAAAAGTTTCGTAAAGAAAAAACGTTCCTGTAGTGTTTTATTTAGCATTTTGTAAATCCCATTGAGTTCTGTAGGAATAGTCAATATTCCGCTGCCACCGGAAACGGAAATGGGGCCTGTTTACACAGTTGTAGTCTTTTCGCTTCACTCTGCGTACTCCGACGTCGAGGTGCTAACGTCTCTGTTAAACACTTTAAAAAACTCTGAAAATGGAATACGAAAGGTGGATTCTTGATTCTCGACGTCGGAGTACACAGAGTGAAGCGAAAAGACTACAACTGTGTAAACAGGCCCCATTTCCGTTTCCGGTGGCAGCGGAATATTGACTATTCCTACAGAACTCAATGGGATTTACAAAATGCTAAATAAAACACTACAGGAACGTTTTTTATTCACGAAACTTTTTTTGGAACGTCATTGAACAGCGCTGACGACACGGTGAGTAGCATATTTTAAAAAAAGAACGTTTAAGGTTGTTTTAAGGACATTATCGGACATGCTCTATGCTAGCCATTCTAAAGCAGCCAGGGGTTGATTCTAAATGAGCCAAAAAGCAGAGACAGGACCAATTGTCAAAATTTTGGTGTCCTTCATTCGATTTCATCCTGGACACTACAGAAAATGGGCTTAAAGTGTAAAAAACCGAACTTCTCCTTTAAGCAGTTTCTCAACCTTCCTCCCTCTCACTATCCCTGAGTATAGTGGACATTTCTTATAAATCTCCTTTCATGTGACTACTTTTAAATTTTAGATATTAACTGTTTCATTTTAAAATTAGTTTGGCTGCCAAACTACCCAAAATTGCAATAAACGTGAATGCCTAGATAATTATTTTTCCATTAACACAACTGTTGTCATGGCAGTCATCTTAACATTTACTTAGAAATGAGGGTTGGGATGTAGCCTTCTTGTGTAATTTTGTTGGCCTCATTGTGAACCATCCGGTTTTCACGACCCTTTAAATCTTTCTGTGGAATTCTACAGGCTGGTAAAATGGTTATGACCTCTTTATCTGTTTTATGGACTCCCTGGCCATCGCAGATGGGTAAAAATCAATGGCATTTTTGACTGAAATCAATTGAATTTACTGGTGATAATATGGCCATGCTGCAATACAACAGAGTAGTTAAATAGCAAACCTATGAGTATGTAATGTGAACTTATAAAAGATTTCAATATTTAGGCAAAATGGATTTTGATTCCTATTTAAAAAGGAATACCTTATATAATTTGAAAGAATTTGTTCTGAAAGCAAAGTTTAATAAATAAATTGTGTTGCTTTAGAGGAATGAGTATATTTGACCATAGTTAATTGTTATAGTTAAATTTCTTATCTTTTTTATTTTGGTCCAACCCTCACTGTAATGTCTAACGACGCTCAGATAGATATTAAGCGCCTCCCCCTTTTCTTGCTCTTCCTCTCTCCCCATCTGTGTTGCAGATCCAAGGAGCACTGCTCTTCCTCCCAGCCTGGGAGAATAAGACGAAGGGATTAATGAGACTGATTTATCACTCTCTGTTGATAAGCTCTCCTTTGTTTTCTTCATCCATTCCCTTAATGGATTCCAGGGTGAATCAAATGGCTGCTGCGCCACAGATTCCTGCATCCTTACCTGAATTAGGTCTTATTTTAACAATATCAGTAACTAACATTGACTAAGTACACCCTCTACTTGTCCTGTATGGTAAAAATATGATTGCTGTTCAATTCTGGTTCTGGTTAGAACAGTCATAGTTCTTTAAATGTTATATACATAGAACAGTTAATACATCGTGTTCCATTTAAACATGAAAACGTTTAAATTGAACGTCACCGACTAAATGCAAACAAAGGTTTTCCAATTACCTCACAAACCATAACAGTCCAACATATGATTATAAAATTTACTGAAAAGGAATACATGAACTCATCACAGAGCAATCTAAAATAACCTGGAGCTGCATATGCAAATAGACAATAATAATGTTCTTAGGAGAGTAGTTAAGAGAGGCTAAGGGTCTGTAATGACTTACATGATCCTATTTGTTTTTGCAAGAGCCTTTGTCCTACTTAGAAATTGTTTAGTTTTTTTGTTACTGAACTGCCTCAAGGATGATGAAAATGAGTTACTGCAGCTGCTCAGATGAAGGAAAAAGCTTTATGTTAGACAGCAATTACTCATTTGAAGATTGCCGGTACAGCATGCATTCATCTTCACATTAATTAATTGCAGATGCCCAAGCACCTTTTACATGTATGCATACCAGTCGAATCTTTCCACATTTTGTCACATTTCAACCATAAAATTAAAGCTGATAGCTACAAATTTCACCTCTTCTGGCTCATAAATTGCATACATTGTCTGCTCTTTTTTTCTATGTAGATTAATACCTTTATTCTGCACAACTCTAGATTTTCTATGGTATTGATATGGAAAAAATGTCATTTTGATGAAAATGTTGAAGCTATCCATTTTGTGTTTATCAATATGTAGAACATATACTGCTCATCAAATCCTATAAAATAGTGGGAGGGGTTATGTAAATACCAACTGATGAACCTAAAACATGGATGCAATATCTAGATTATAATTTTTTTTTAATGTTTAAATGTGATCTACAAAGTCACAATCAATGCCAGACAAATATATGCATGTAAAAATATTCAGACTTATTAATATAGCTGTAGTGGAATTGTGATCTTAAAGTAAAAGACACCTGCAAAGAACAGGTTAATGCAACAACACTATAAACAATAAATTTAACTGAGGCAAAACTAAAAAAAAAAAAAAAAAATCATGAAAGAACTTTGATATTGTGGCATCTACCTCAGTGTTACTTTAAGGGCTCAAAACAGTTATGTTGTCTTAAATCATTATGGACCCACCTTAGTTTGTTTTTTGGGGGGTCACGTAGAGGTTGTAATGGAATTGGGTGGCATAAATACAGCTTTTTAGAGCTCAAATTTGCTCCAAGTCACACAGTGCTTGCAACCCAGAAAATCCCCAGAAAAAGAGCAGTCCAGGCATGGCTGTGGTACAGGGGTTAAGTGCATGACCCATGTAAAGAGGCTTTGGTCTTTGACATGGCTGTCACAGGTTCGAGTCTGGGCCTGGTGACCTTTGCAGCATGTCTTTCCCCTCTTTCTAATCCCATTTCCTGTTTGCCTACCAACTAGAAAATATTTTTTTAAAAACACCACTGGAGCCTCAAATTTACATAGAGCAATCCATCTTTTGCACCTTTTCTAAATTGAACACACACTTTCTGTAAATCACTCACAAATCCGCTTAGTGTAAGTACAAGCTTTTTGTTTGTACAAGAAATGTAAGCTCTACTTATCTGGGATATTAGCAGATCAGGGTATATTTGGCATACCTATAGTGCTACAATTTACCATGAAATTAATATCTTGTTATATTTGGTGATGGCAGTATCATGCAGTGGGGAGGTTTTTTTTCAGCAAGAACAGGGTTTGGGATACAACTTCACATTGCAGTAGGGCAATAGCTCTAAACTTATATCCAGAGATACATTTTTAAATATTTTTATGTCCAGTCAGACCAAATAAA